GAGTGCATACTCTAGTTTTGTGTATAGCTTCAACGATTGATTCATGAGCAAAGCAAGTGGCACATGCATGATCGAGATTGGCAACTATGACAAAGTCAAGTGGTCTTTTCTTGAACAAACTCTCATAATGAAAGGTTTTTCTGCAGAGTGATGCGCAATGATCCATAGTTTCGTGACTGGAGGTAGTGTTGCCATTAAAGTCAATGATGACATTGGCAACTATTTCCAAACGAAGAAAGGATTGCGGCAAGGTGACCCAGTATCACCCATGCTATTCAATATAGTGGCTGATATGTTAGCGGTCATGATTGAGCGTGCCAAGGTTGATGGATAAATTGATGGGGTAGTGAGTCATCTAGTGGATGGTGGCCTCTCTATCCTCCAATATGCCGACGATACGATTCTCTTTATGGACCATGACCTCGAGAAAGCAAGAAATCTGAAATTAATTTTAACAGCATTCGAGCAACTCTGAGGGCTTAAGATCAATTTTCATAAAAGTGAATTGTTTTATTTCGACGAGGCTCAAGACGAGGCCCATCTGTATGCTGACCTGTTCGGATGCGGATTGGGCCAATTTCCGATCACTTATTTGGGGATACCGATACATTATGGGAGACTCACAAATGCTGAATGGAAACACGTCGAGGAGAGAATACAAAAAAGACTTAGCAGTTGGAAAGGTAAATTGCTATCTCTGGGAGGAAGGTTGGTCCTCATAAATTCAGTACTAAGTAACATGATACTATATATGATTTCCTTCTTCCAATTGCCGAAAGGAGTATTACATAGATTGGATTACTTCCGATCGAGATTCTTTTGGCAAGGAGATAGCGAGAGAAAGAAATATCGACTGGCTAAATGGAGTGTGGTTTGCCGTCCCAAGGACCAAGGTGGTTTGGGCATTCATGACCTTGAGGTTAAGAATAGGGCCCTCCTCGGCAAATGGTTGTTTAAATTGTTGACGGAATATGGTGTATGGCAAACCCTCCTAAGGAGAAAATATGTGGGTTCTAAGGCGGTATCCAAGTATACTAAAAGCCTGGGGACTCCCATTTTTGGGCCGGACTAATGGCAACGAAGAAATATTTCTTCCGCTATGGTTCCTTCTCAATTAAGGACGGCTCGGAAATTAGATTCTGGGAGGACAAGTGGTTAGGTAATGCTACTCTCCGGGAACAATATCCAGCTCTATACAATGTTGTGCGTTATAAGGGTGATACTATTGCCAAGGTTTTGGAATCATTTCCACCAAATGTGACGTTCAGGAGGGATTTAATTGGACCTAGACTCCAATCGTGGAACATACTGCTCCAACGGTTAACCACGGTACAATTGTCACACGGATCCGATGTGTTCTGTTGGAACCTACATGGGAATGGAAAATTCTCAGTGGATTCTATATATAGAGCTTTGATCCAGTCAGACGTGCCAGTTGATAATAATAAGAAGATTTGGAAGATGAAGATACCTCTTAAGAATAAAATCTTTGCATGGTATCTTCGTCGCGGAGTCATTCTTACTAAAGATAACCTTATTAAGAGGAATTGGCATGATAGTACGCAATGTGTATTTTGTCCGCATGATGAGACAATAAAACATTTGTTCTTCCATTGTAAATTGGCTCATTCTATATGGTCAGTCATCCAGATAGCTTCTGGCATGTATCCTCCGTGTAGTGTTGCTAATATATTTGGCAACTAGTTACATGGGATTGATCACAGGTTTAGAATTCTTCTCAGGGTGGGAGCGCTTGCCGTGATTTGGTCGCTTTGGCTATGTAAAAATGATAAGGTTTTTACCGATAAAAGTACTTCTCTTATGCAGGTTATCTACAGATGTACCGGGACGCTTCGTTTATGGTCCTCTCTACAACGAGTGGAGAATCGAGACATGTTTACAGAGGTGTGTACACTATTGGAGGATGCGGCGAGGGATACTTTTACCCAACATGGGTGGCAGCATGACCTTAGGATTGGGCCACCTATGCTTTAGGCGTCATACAGATTTCATCTTTGTATTTCGCCTTCTTCGTTTATATTGGCTTGTCGTGAGGACTTTGTTGGGCGTGTGCATTTTTGCAGAGGCCGGATGTAATGCTTAAACCTTTTAAGTAATAAAGCGCCTCTTTTCGAAAAAATGATCGAGATGCATCGACAAAGGATAGCCACCACCATGTTGCTAGCAACCCTGTCCCTGATCTCTACACTTCGGGTGTCTATATATATCCGCACCGAGATCCATCTTTCCACACGATAGCTACCTCTTTCTGGGAGTTAGCTTGCAGCTGGCTAGTCATTAACATAGCTAGATGCCGGAGGTGAAAGATCGCCCGAGGCTTGCGAGGCTGCACAATGCGGTGAGGCAGCAGAAGGGGAGGTTGTACATCATCAGGAAATGCATCACCATGCTCATCTGCGGCATCCCCAAATGTGTATGCTGCCTCTTTCCCTAGCTAGTTCTATCATGTTCTTCCCCAGTAGGTTAGTATATATATTTCTGTCTAGAATCGACAATATGTAAACACTAAACATGGTGCGTTTTAACAGGATCGTGTTGAGATACATTCTAGTTATATTGGCGTTAATACAGAGTGTTAAGAGAACGGCCTAATACCTTACTCCCTCCGTTCGGAATTACTTGTCGCGGAAATGGATGTATCTAGATGTAAATACATCTAGATACATCCATTTCCACGACAAGTAATTCCGAACGAAGGGAGTATGTCACAATGTAGTCAACAGTAAATGTGCTAAAAAATTGACAGGCCCAGTGCTAAAAGCTCCCACAAACCAGGTGGGATATGAAAAAGGAAGGATCATACGAGACAAACCTTATCCCTGCACAGTGCAATGCAGATAGTCCATTGTGAACAGATGCTAGTTCGAACAATTTTTAGTTTCGATGATCGATGCAGAAAACATACTGCCATCACTAAGACTACTAGATCCGTCGAAAAATACATCCATATTGTATTATTGACAATCTCATATATGCATAAGTGCAGGTCGGGGATGAAAACGAAGAGAATGAAGACTAGCTACAAATCCATCTTGGTCGTCCAACACTCAAACTTGTTTCTCAGTTGTTGGGTAGTACTACAAACCTGGATGCTACATATTTGCAAGAGTCGTGGAAGACGACCGCAAGCTACAGTTAATTAGTCATGATAATATACATGGTGTGTAGCCATGCATGTATGTCTCCCTTCACTTCATACGCGCACGCATCTAAGACCATCATATAATAGAGCTAGGCAGGACAAATATATATGCACAATCCGTGCCATGAAGGATGTATATCGAACCAATATACAAAGTTGGTTAATCTACACATCACTAAGAGCTTGAAAAAAGAACAGATATGCACGTGCTCCTTCTCCATCACCTGCCTCGCACGCAATATTTTGCTTTGTGAACGAGCCAAGCTGGGCCAGGTGTACTCGCTGGCTTGTTTTGCATACACTAATATCATGGCACGCCTCAAGAAAACATCGGACTCGGCTTTGGCCACAACGGTTTTTCCATGAGTTCATAGAAAGTGTAATCCTAATCTTTGCCACACTTATTCTCAATGACCGTGTTGTACATGATGATGTAAGTTGTGATGATGTGTTGAAGGATCTCTTGGTCCCAAAACCTAGCCGGCCCTCGCACGATAGCAAATTAGGCTTGCAAAATCCCAAAAGCCCTCTCCACATCATCTTTCCTAGCGGTCGTTTGGCAATATGGAAGTAGATTCGTTGGGGGCTTGAAATTGGCTCGACAAAAGTAGCGCAATTCACATGTATCCCATCCGCAAGGTAGTAGCCCGCCAGTGATAATTCCACATTGGCTAGCTTTGCAAAGAGAGGTGGCCATTGCACCCATTGATGTCATTGTAAGATTTAGGATCCCAAAATATGCATGTCAAATCCTTGTCTCCTGATCGGCCACGATTTCAAGAATGATGGTGGCATCCTTGTGTTCTCTAAACTGTCCATTTCATGCTGCAGAGGAGCTGCGACGGCCATTACAGGCAACAGAAGACCGGTGGCATCCTTGTGTTCTTTGAACTGTCCATATCATGTTGTAGAGCAGTTCTTCCAACTCCAGCATGCAATCAACGAAAATCCAAGCATACCTGAAAACCCACGGGCTTTTCTTCATCTTCAAAAGTCTCGATGTGTCCCGAGCATTAGGTGCTCTCAAATACTTTGGTCCAAACACTTCAATGATGTGTCCATCCGAATCAACGATGGCTCTGCTCAGTCACGGCGGGCTTGTGTGTCCCGAGCATTAGGTGCTCTCAAATACTTTGGTCCAAACACTTCAATGATGTGTCCATCCGAATCAACGATGGCTCTGCTCAGTCATGGCGGGCTTGTGTCCAGCACCAGAGCATAGGGGACGAGCGGCGGAGTCGAGTGCGGGTGGCGGGACGGTAGCAGTGTCGTTGGCGGCTGAAAACGTGGGGACAGCCCATCTTCACGGTTTGTTCCAGTTTGGCTGTGATTGTGTGTCCGCTGGTGTCGGCCCAGACCTTCATCTTTCCTGTCCTTCAACGAGATAGACAGCATAGCCTCATAGGTTGGGACCTGAAGCGAAATTACCAACACTTGTAATATGAAGACAGCACAAAAGATACTTCGGCTCTCGGTTTCTTACAGCTTGATGGAAGGGAGTCATCTTCTAGTCTAGTACGTACCAATTTGACGTTTGTATATTGTACAAAAAAGAAAGAAACAGGAACCGCACACGATGAGTAGCTGTTGTTCCAAGGATACAGGCCACTATAAACAGAGAACAATCTCGGGATACTTTACAGAGCACGACCAAAAAAAATGTCCACTTTGTACGTGGGGGGTGGAGGACAGGAAAAATGCACACAAGGCCAACACAAGAGGCTTGCCAACCAAAAAAAAATGGATCCGCTGTATTGTACTTTCCTCGAACAATCCGAGCCTTGTATCGACAAATGAGCCCGCAAGAGACAAATCCTCGTAATACCACAAATGAATATCAGAATTTGGGGGGCGACCGCGCTCCTGATGCTTTAAAAGGCCCGGTCGAGCCAAAAGGATCGGCTTCATCAAAAGAATCGAACCGGCCGAAATTTCTCGAGCTGTTTGACGAGTCAAATCCCGCTGCGCTCTCGCCTTTGGAGCTGGTTACAGAGTCAAACCTGGAAAAGCGGCTTTCCTGTGGGACGGTGCTGTCTTGGGATCTGAAGGAATCGAACCTTCCGAAGTTGTAGGAGGAGCTATCATCACGACTTTCACCGAACTTCGGTGAGAATCCAGACGTGTATGCAGGGGAACTTGGGACGGAATCGTCAAAGAATGTGCTCTTCTTTCCATAGGCACTAGCGCCAGTTGGAGAGCCCACTCTAACAGGGTCCACATTGAAGTCATCTGACCCAAAGAAAGAGTTGCTTCCATGATGTCCAGGCTCCTGTATCAAGATAATTCATCAGAAATAGATGGGTGGGGACCAAAAAAGTCCAAAATAAGAAGACAAAGCTTACATTCATTGCATTAGATCCCCAAACTGATTCAGTATCTTGGTCATCAAAGTTCCATGTAGTCTCATCACCATAATTATCTCCAAAAACGGACTCAGAGCCACCATGGTCACTGTTACCAAATAATGATTAATGACACTCTCACATGAAACTCAAAATGTATAACTCATAGTTGAAGACCATATTTGTGCTTTAAATCAAATATTACTTGCAATATTTTTTGGAGGATATTATTTGCACTGTACAGACTAGAAAGTAGGAAACAAGGATAATTGTCATACTTTAAGTGGTAAAAATGAGAGGGAATCTCTCCAGTGTCAAGTAAATAAATCTACCATGTATAACAAAAAGTTACGAATAAACATCCAAAACATTCAGGTGATAAGAACCGATAAATCTTGGTCAGCTAGTGTTGCTGGAAATTACAGTGGGGTTTGCTCAAAGGAAGGCTCATACTTCTAAAGGCAGGAATAGCACAAAGAAACAAATAGGTCATCATTTTTTAGTTCATCAAGCAAATAAAGAAACGGAATATAGCTCATCATGTAGTTCATTCATGTAGACTATGCTTGATAGATATATGTCAGTTTTTTAAACTTTGAGAAAAAGGACTCTACATGAAAAAAATATGTGAAAACAAGCACCTGTAGGTTCCTTTTTTCGTGGGAGACGAGTCATGCACCCCAAAACGAGAAGACTTAAATGGACTCCCAGAGGCACTTCTTCCAGCACTGCCGGGGCTCCTTACAGGTTCATCACCAAAATCATATGCTAATTCACTCTCAGGCGCTTGATCACCAGCTCTGTAATGTCTCACATCCTTGATATGACCATTAGAAGATGCAACAGGGGACATCCCATCCGTAGAGACACCGTCATCCCAAAGAGATGATGCATTTGCAATGTCAGCAGAAGCTGGGTTTTCGACAATTGTACCATTGTCCTTTACAAGACCAAACCCTGTTATGACGAATGGCATAGTTAGAAATATAATAGGATCAGCCAAAAATGGAAGTAGGTTGCTGATGTCGAAGACACCAAATCTGATCAAATAACTGATTGTGGGATCAAGATCAAATATGTGCGCAATAGCAATTGCGCAGTGAGAAAGGTTCCGCGGTAAGCAAGCTGACACTTCCATAATATCTGGGTGCATGAGGTAGGGACGGAAAATAATGACAAGACGGAAAAATACACTAGTGCTCATTTATCTACATAATTTACATCGAAAATTATTTGACAACAGCAAAATAGATTGGGATTAGAAATAGAATCATGCTTTAGTTTCTTTTCAGGACAAAACATAACTGGTGTAAAGCATGAAGTCCAGGATCGGGAAATGGTCTGCATGAGATGAAAAGTACCATTTTCTGCCCTATAAACAGAAAATTACCAACTTCGAAAGGAAATCAGCACTTTTATTTTGGATAAAGGCCCATGGCCACGCTTTTAATAAAGTTACAGTTCAAAACAAGCACAATACTCTAAGTAGTGATGTAAGGCAAGATGGATCAAAAAGTATCTGACCTTCATCCTCAAATTTATCCCAGTCTTCATCCCACTCAACTGCTCCCTCTTGCTGCCCAGGTTCCCAACCTGGCAAACAAGGATATAAGTGCTCAATAGAATTATGGATTGTAAATATGACATGAAATAAGGGCATAATTTGATATATAGAAATTAAACATGAAGATGAAAGTCTCAACAAATACTGAAAGTTGGGTACCAAATGGAAGCTCGACTGTTGCAGATGGCTTGAATTGCAGTCCAAAGTGCTTGCACCGTTCGTTAAAAGCTTTCTCCATCTCCTCTAATTGATGTTGGATTCGATCAGCTCGAACCTAGGTATACAGTTTGGTGTTATTTAGAGAGAGACAAAATAGAACTGATTGAAGGTATGAGATACTGCCCGCAAAAAGAAAGGTATGAGATAGACCATACCTGAAGCAAACCATCAACACTTCCACCTTGTACCATTTTAATTAATGCATCATTCAGCTCAACTTTCCTCTCCTGAAAAAGATTATTAAAAAAAGACAGTCGGAATGAAGATATGACCATCAAAAATTGTAATCACAGTAAGAATCGCCAGATGACATTTTTCTAAGGTGTAGTGTCACAAAACCTGAACATCACGGAAAGCGGCTTCCTCAACTGCCAGTTTGGAAGCTAACTCTGCCACTTGCTTGTATTTTTCTTCATATTTCTTAGACAACAATTCCACCTGAATTGAGTTAAAGACCATCCATCATTTTGCAAAGAACCCAAAAAAAAAGACAACTAACAATCAATTTCCATGCCTGGACCACTAGCATGAGAAAAATAGGGCTAAAGGAAGAACTACAATGCTGGCATACATCAGATATGATAAGCATTACACAGTAATCTGTACCTCACGTTTATCAGAAGACGCCCTTTCTGTGATCTCATTCAGTCTATTGTCACATCGACTTTTATACAGAACCTTTGATAAGAAGAATAAACGGATTTCAATACAACATGTAAATATATCAACTTTTGTTAACCTAAATAAGACCAGTAAATGTAATAATAGATCACAAACTGCATACGAGTCAGAATTTATTTACCGAGTCCTAATAATTGTAATACTATGAAAACAACTAACAAGATAGAAACATGCTTACAAGATCTTGCATTTTCGAGCGGTAGTACTCTAATTTCTCTCTGGAGTCTAGGACCTGCTTCTCCACCTCAACCTTCAAAATGCAAAAGAGACCAGAAAAAAGACAAACTGTTTCAGAGTTCACAAACTAGGATTAATAGAAAGTTGTTGCAACTACAGAGCATGAGAAACAACCCGTTCCTGCTATCTATAGGAAATTGCTTGTTTAAGTACATAAGGAAGTGTAATAGAGCAACTAGAAAAAAGGCTACCCTGTAAAGTTTCCAAAAATAATTCTGGACAAAAGCAAAAGAAATAATCCCTCCCTCCCTAGGTGACGTTTTAGAGAAGTTTGCTTACAAAGAACTAATTGAACTTCAAGGATTGCCAGAAAGATGACATGTTTCTGCTAAAGTATAGTAGTTCAGACTTCAGAACTCCAAGCTTTGCATCTTGATAAGATGTAATCCTTCGAACAATTGTACTGGGCTACTGGCAGTATGATATATACAGGAGACGTTTTTTTACTGCCTGTATGATATATAAAAGACTCGTCTATATGGCTTTTCCCTAGGGCCTAATTTTAGATTTTGCACCGGTCCTTCAATTTCTCGAGTACAACTGGTCAATGTTAAATCATGTCTGCGACAAGATTTGGATACACCATTCAGCTGTACTTGCTTAATTGAATAACAAGAGCAGCTTAAATTATTCTCGATGTAATCAACTAGTGTTGAACACCACAAATCCAGTCTGGGCATAGTGGATCAGCAGTTCAGCACACTGATCCAGATTTAAGGAACGGGTCCAATACCTTCTTAGGAGCCTCCTGTGCAGCTGAGTTTACCCCACTTCTGTCATCTTTAATTCCTTGAGCTGCTGCATGATTATCCATACCAGGCATGTGAGGTCTTGGTTGCCCTGGTCTTGTTGCTCCATCAGTCTGTGAATGCATTTGAGGCAAGGGTGGCCGTACACCACCAGTAGGCAACCCAGGTGCGCCAGGTCCCCTATGCAGTAATCCTGGCCCAACATCAAATACCTTGTAAGCGGCAGGCCAAGTAAGCTAGACAAAGTATGTGTGTTTCAACTTGGACTACAGTTATATCATGTAATAACTGAGATCTTGCAGCCAATACAAATATTACCTTGATTAGGCTGCCATGATGGGGCATTGTAAGCTGTAGAAGGCAAGCCTGTTGCTCGTAACAGTGTCTCATCAAATTTAAGAGAGTCAGGGAGCGATGGAGGCAGAGGAGTTCCAGCTCGGTTCCTCTCCATTAAATAAAGAGCAATGCAAAACTCTCTCAGAGAAAGCATGCCGTCATTATCTTGGTCAGACAAGTCCCACACTTGCTTCAGTACATCTACAAAGTACAATGAAACAACAATTTCATTAGCCAATGGCAATGGTATTCATATGATGATATGTTCGCACATCATATGAAAACCATCATAGAAACAGAAATAAAATACAATGATATCATTATGGAAAAACAATGACAGAATAGCCAAATAGGTCTAACAAGGAGCTCAACCAATAAGCCTAGTAAAGGTACCCCGTTACCGCAATATATTAGAGCATCTTACAGGCAGAAATACACATATGCATGCTTAGGAAAGTAAAGTTGGTGATGAGATCCAACCTCTTGGAAGTCTCCAACTGAGAAACAGAGTGCGAGCTTCTGCGCCAGTTATTTTGCCATCTCTGTCCCTATCCACATCCCCAAAGACTTTCGTGTACTTCTGGATATCGGATTGAGTAACTTTTGGCCATTGAGAAGTGGAATTAGAAACGCCGGCAGAAACACCTGGAGATGGAACACTTGGCTTTGTGATGGGCTGTGTCTGCTGAGGTTGGCTGGTGCCGTAACTCACTGTTGGAGTACCTTGGAGAGAACCAGGCTGTGTTAGATTAGCCAGGTTCTGGGAGCCAGTCGGCTTGGACATAAAGCTCGATGAGTTGGGCATCTTGCTGGTCGGAAGTGCAGGTGTGGATGTACTTGGCTTTGGCTGAGTAAGAGCAGAGAAGATGTCAGTGCTTGCTCCTGAGCCACTGGCAGGGCCATTTCCAGATAGCACCAAAGCTCTTGAATCTGAAGGCAATACAGCACTGTTGCTCTGTGGAGGCAACGATGAAGAGGACATTGCATGTGTCTGCTGTCCAGGAACCATGCTCATTGAGCTCGACATTCCAAGACCAAATCCACCTGATGTTGTCTGTGAAAGAACAGCTGCTCCTGGAGAGGGTTGTGAGATACCTCCAAATGAACCAACATTACCCCCTTGCCAGCCAACTGATCCTCCCATGCTGCCTCCACCCAGTGGACTTTGATTCATTCCGGTTGCTTGAAGTGATGTTGCAGGAGCTCCCACCTGAGGTGGTGGCCTCATGAAACCAGTGCTTGAACCGAGGAGCTGCTGAGCATAACCCATGTTGGGAGATTGTGACTGAATGCCCCTCGGCGCCGTAAACTGATTTGGCGGCATGGCGCCGCCCTGACTTGCAGCCGGCATCATCGAGTTGACGCCTTGTGGTCTCGGAACAGCTCCGGCGCTCGCCTGCGGTGCACCGGCAAATTGAGTTGAAGTCGGCATCATACCGCTTCCCTGGGGCCTCGGAGCAGCAGCAGAAGTCGGCATCATACCGCTTCCCTGGGGCCTCGGAGCAGCAGCAGAAGTCGGCATCATACCACTTCCCTGGGGCCTCGGCGCAGCGGCTGCCGGATTCATCTGCGCAGCTCCAGCCTGCCCCGGAGCGGGTGCCGGCGCAGCAGCATTACCTTGGGGCCTAGGAGCACCAGCGGCCGCCTGCGGAGGGGCCGGCCCGCCGGCAATCTTCGGAGGCGGAATTCTGGCAGCTGCAGGGCCATACAGCGCGGACTGCACTATGTCGGGTGTGAGCTGGCGCCCGCTCTGCGCCACGGTGACGAGCCGCAGCGCGTTGAAGAACTCCGGCCGGCCGAGGAAGCCGGTCTTGCTCTGATCGGCGTGCATCCACACCTGCGCGCACAACGTCCGAACATCACCAACCAACCAACCCTTAGCTTGTCTCGAATTATTCCGCTAGAGAGGGGCTCTGATCTAGCGCCGCTCTAGGAAGATCACACCTAGAATTGGGGCGCTCGGACCGGGGGAATGGATTGGGCGGCGGGGTTTAGGGGCGCTCACCTGGGCGAGGACCTGCTGCGGCAGGCTGGCGCCCTGGAAGAAGGCGACGGCCTCCTGGCCGCTGATGCGGCCGTCCTGGTTCAAGTCGGCGCGGCGGAAGTAGGCCTCGAAGGCCTCCATCCCCGCCATGGCCGGGATCCGGGGCGGGGATCTCGCCGGCCGCGCGGATCTGCTGCCGCGGGCTGTGGGGAGATCTCGGGGGAGCGTGTCGCGGGCGGGCGGGCGGGCGGCTCTCTCGTGTGTCTGCGAGCGAGGGCAGTGGTTGGGGGTCGGTCCTCCGGGCGGGCGCCCCGTCCAGATGGTGTGTGAGCTGCCTGCTGCAAAACTTTTTGCTAAGTGCCCCCCTCCAGTTTACGGGGATGTTTGGTTTCCAGCCACAGTTTGCCAAGCCAAAATTTGGTAGCCACAGTTTAGTTGGCATGTGTTTGGTTTTTGCCACACTTTATTGCTCCTATGATCCACTTGTCATAGAGACAATTTTTTTGCCAACTTTTGCCAAAGTTTGGCATCCAATTTCTTAGCCACACTTGTGTGGCTTGCCATACTTGTGTGGCTAGCCATACTTTGGCTTGGCCACACTAGTCTCCAACCAAACAGGCCCTACATCGAGCAACTGAGCCGCAAAAGTCACAATCCTGCAAAATTCTGGCGAGTATACGGGCTCGGCCCAATTTTCTAACCAAAATAGAGCATGTATACTCGCCCGGTCTGTAAAAAATTTTCTCGCCGCCGGTGAGCCCCTTCCGCCTCCAGCCGCCATGTGGGGCCGCATGTGAAGCTCCGACCGCGGCTCCGGGAGCAGTTCCGCCGCGGGCGGCGACCCCGAGCGTGAGCGGCGTGTCCGCTCGGACGGCGCGAGGAAGCGTGGGGCGAGGAAGTGGACGAACAAGGGCTTCTCGCCGCCGCCGAGCTTTCTCGTCCGCGAGACGGATGAATACGACCGTCGGCATGGACGTATGCCCTCCTCGGCGCGGGCTCGTCCTCCGCCGCGAGAGCCGGAGGAGATCGAGCGCCGAGGTGTCGTCGGGCCCGAAGATTTCGTGGCCGATTTCGACGCGGTCGCGGCCGCCATTGCCGAGCGGAACTTGCGCGAGGAGGCGGAGTGCCGGTGCCACGACGACGAGGTCGACGACCTCATCCTCCAGCAGGCGGTCGCGGCAAACCTTGTCGCGAGGGAGAAGGACGACGAGTGGCGGCGCATCCGCGAGGAGCAGAGGTCGAAGTTCATCGATCTCGTCAGCTCCGACGAGGACTGAGCTCCTCCATCGCGTCGTCCTTAGCCGCGAGCTTGCCGCCGCGAGAATCCCCCCTCCCCTCCCTCTAGTAGTAGTAGTAGAATGTAGTATTTATGATAATGTAGTATGTGATGATGAACTATGAATGATCATGTAGTATGTGATGAACTACTATGGTTGCAATTTCTCTCACGAAACTTTTTTTTCAAATCGTGCAGTTTCATATACGGTTTCTGTTCGGGCGCGCATGTTTTCGACCCGCAAACAAGATCTTCGTCGAATTGCAAACGCGTTTTGCGGGTTGGGATTTTACGGGGTCTGCTAGGGATGCTCTAATCAAGTTTATTTTTCCAAACCATTGAGACATGTGATTCACTAAACGAGAAGGTTCTAATCAAGTTTACCACAGCTAAATTGTTGATCTACAAGGGTTGATCATGTTTTGTTGTATCCTTGTTCTTGTTGTTGCATTCCACAACTTTTGTTTGTTATTTAGTTTGGTGCGTTGGAAAGATGGAGTGCCTTTTTTATAATCAGTGTTTTGATTGGCTTTCTTGGTAGTGTGATTTTGTGTATCCGCTAATCAACTCATACTTATCTGGGTGGCCGTGTGTATTATTTTGTTGCTACGGTGTCACATGTTGGTGCTTTTTTCTAGGTGGTGAAATGATGCGCAAGACCTATGTGTTTTTTGGCTGGTTGTTGTTTATTAATCCGAGAAATCTTTGACCCAATCAAAATCACGAACCAAATATAAAACTAAACGCCTCAACTGAATGAGAGAGCTCCTTGATAAATAGTTGACACATACAAATTCATGAATCAAATACTCCCTCCATCCCAAAATTCTTGTATTAAATTTGTCTAGATACGGATGTATCTAATACTAAAACATGACTTGATACATCCGTATATAGACAAATTTAAGACAAGAATTTTGGAACGGAGGGAGTACAAAATTGAACACCTTGATTGAATAGGAGAGCTTCAAGATAGGCAGCGGGGTGTATTGAAAGATTCAAGATTAGTTAACTGAATAATTACGATGACGACATAGAGGGGAGTAAATAGGTCTCTACATTGAGGGGAGTCAAAATACGACTAACGATTCCAGACCGATCACTTTACTTATAAGTTGTTTGAAGATCAGAACGAAAATCCTAGCCAACAGATTGCAACAAGATCAGAACAAAAGTCCTAGCCAACCGATTGCAACAATTCATTTCGAGCATTGTTCCAACAGAGCATTGGTGGTCCACGTCATCAATCCGAGGTAACTAAAGGATTCCTTTGCATCAGAAGGATCCAAGATTGACTCGCACGAGCATTTGAATATATATACCAAAGTCAAAACTTGGAAAAACCTAGTATTCTGCTTAAACTGAACTTCGCAAAAGCATTTGTTACAATCGAACACTCATCCATGTTGGAAAATCAAATAATATATGGATTTGGTGATAGATGGTCAAATTGGATCAAATGCATCTTGGGATCAGGTACCTCATCGGTGGTGCTGAATGGTGTCCCCGGTCGCCAATCTCTCTGTCGTTGAGGTGTACGTTAGGGAGACCCTCTCTCCCCCTTTATTTCTATGGTAGCCGCGGACCTATTGCAATCGGCCATCAACGATGCGTACCATTGCTAGCTGATCCGGCTACCCGTACCTGCTTGGGGGCCGACGAAATACTCAGTGGTGTAGTACACCAATGACACAATTCTGGTGATGCCAGCTTGCCAAAACAAGTGAAAACTATTGATCGACCACGCGACTCAATTGGTCTTGAAATCAACTTTCGTACATCGATGATTGTGCCTCTTAATGTGTAAGAATCCCTGGTAACACACATTTATGTCAATGCTCTGTTGGAACAATGCCTTTTACTATGTTTGCAAGGCGATTACCCAAAGGCCCCAGCGTCGTCTAGCTTAGGCGACACGGGCGGCGACTTGGTCCCCCGCCGCCAGCAGCTCCCTCCACCCGCTCCACCCCCCTCGTCGCCGCCGGCGGCCACCTCCGGGCAAAGCCCGCATTGTGGTGGCGGCGGCGGCGCGGCCTTCTTCGTTGCTCATCTCTCTTTCAATTGGAGCTTCGATCGGCGACGCTCGATCCAGTTGCCAGCGGCGCGACGCGGCGGCCTCGCGCATCTCTGGTAGGGCTGTGGTGGCAGTTGTGAGGAGGAGGCGGGTCGGGAGGGCTGGATTTGATCGGACTCGGCTGGATCTGGCTTCTCCTGTCGGTCCGGCGGGTGCAGGGCTCCATGGCTGCTGCGGATGGAGTGGAGGACGCCGGGGCGGCGGCCCTCGGCTCGATGTTGCAGGTTCTTGCCGTCAGGGAGCCGTTCTGCATGGATTTGGCGGTTTCTGCGCGGATCCATGGCCGGTGGTGGTGTTTTGACCGACGTAACGAGAGGTGCTGCGGAGGACGTGACGTGAGATGCAGATTGGTGGGCTTCGCATCAGGGCATTTGCGACATGCTGCATGCTCCGTCCATCCTTGCGCTCCGGTGCCCAGATTTGGTCGTGCAACCTTTCCATTCTCGGGTTTGTGGATGAGCTCCAGGCGAAGCCTTGCCCGACCTCAGTTGGTGCCGGCAACGGTCACCTTGGTGCCATTTTCCTCGGTGGAGGCGTGGTCATGGAGCCTCTTTCCACCCCGTGGTGGATGGGCTCTCCGGGAGAAATCCGTAGCTCTGATCTCTCGGAGGGGCGACGATGGAGGCTACGTTGCATCCTCCTTGGAGGCATCGCCTTGGAGAGCCAGATGCAGATGTTTGCGCCATTCTTGTCGTTGAGGTTGGTGGATGTCGGGGCGGCGGCCCCGGATGTTTGATGTTTGTGCCTCAAGGCGGCGGCCTCGGGAATCATGGGTGGAAGCGGCTCCATGAGGAGGGGCAACATCTCAACATGGCCTGGGTGGCAACTCTGTGTCGCTAGTGTGGCGGGGTTGTCGGCTCGGTCGACGCGTCCCAGAGGGGGCGGTCTGACTTTATGTCGGGGCAGCGGCCCCGTATGAGTTGGTGCGACGGTCGTGGTCTGCGGGTGGTTGCCATGTTCAGCCTGGGCTGTGGGTGACTAAGTCATGCAGCGTTGCAGCTCGAGAGAGAGCGGTGGTATGTCGGGACGGCGACCCCGGAAGGTGGTATGTTGGTGGAGGTCGAGGTGGTGGCCTCGAGAGTTCGGTAACATCGGTTGTGTTCACCTCATGTCGCTTGGGCGGCGAGGTTGCTCTCGATATTGTCGGTGGCGTCTCAAGTGTCGCGTTTGGTGGATTGCAGGCACCTTCACCTTGTGGGAGTGTCCCTGGTCTACTCCTCTCATAGCAGTCGTGGCTTCTTCTCTCCAGCAACAGTGGGTTCATCTGTGTGTATGGCGTCAGTGTGCTCCAATGATGGTTGTGGCATCATTGGCAAGTGTGGTGTGGCCTTGAGGTGTGGCGATTCGAGTTGGCTTGGCCATGTGGCGACTAGGGCTTGGCCCTGTTTGTATCGGTTTTTGCCCGACTTTTTTGTAATTAACTTGGCAACCTTCTTCTTAATTAATGAAACGGACAAAGCTTTTTCCTTGTGTTTCAAAAAAATGCCTTTTACTTACCTCGGATTGTCAATCGGGACCACCAAGCTTACCGTGGAAAATCTCATGTCGATTGTCGAGCGTG